AAAACCTTTACCATTGGCTCAGGAACCCAGTCTAAGATTACAGATCATCTGTTTCAAGGCCAGATGCCTAAACGTCTCATTTTAGGCTTTGTGGAGAATGCGGCCTTTAACGGAGATAAAACTAAAAATCCCTTTCATTTCCAAAACTTTGGGATCAAGAAATTAGACGTCAGTATCAACGGAGAGACCATGAGTACTCGTTGCTTTGAGCCTAATTTCAACGAGGATTTACATCTGAGATCATATCTCAGTCTGTATCAAGCCCTGGAAAAATTAGGAGAAGACTGGGCTCCGGACATTACCCTAGAAGAGTATAAAAGCGGCTACACTCTATGGGGCTGGGATTTCACTAAAGATCAAGAGGCGCAATCGGATAAATTCCACATCATAGAAACAGGAAATCTGAGAGTAGAAGTGCAGTTTACCAACAATACGGCTACCACCATCAATTGTGTGGTGTATGCAGAATTCGATAACCTATTAGAAATTAACAAACAGAGAGAAGTGAGCATTGATTACTAAAAATGGATACGGGACAATTGAGAGAAGTCTTATCCAGAGAATTCAAGAGTTCTTTTGGAGGCGTGTATCCTGTAGATTTATTACCGGATCAATTAAGACCTGGAGAAAAAGCTGTCGTGGTCAATACGGATCCTCAAGATCGACCTGGAGAACATTGGGTGTGTCTATATGTGAGCAATCCCGTGGTGGAATATTTTGATTCTTATGGATTTCCTCCCTTACAAAAAGAAATTCAAGATTTTATCCAGCGTCATGCTCAGCAATGGATTTATAATCCCTATCGCTATCAAGACTGGAAAACCGACGTGTGTGGACAATATTGCGTGTATTACAGTGCAGGGAAATAATTTTGTTACAGCATCAATGCTGATTTTGGTGCTTCCTATGCTTGCTGATTTTGATGCTTCCTTTGCTTGCTGATTTTGATGCTAGTTATCCTTATCCTGGTTTGATCCTTATCCTGATGCTGGTTTGAAACTAGGTCAATGCTAGTAATGCTACCGGAAGTAGGATTATCCTGCCGGAAGTGGATAATTCAAAAACAGCATCGCTATTTTAAGCCATTAAAAATAATTTTTGGGATAATTTTTATTTGTAATTTGTATTAAATGACTTTCCTTTATCTGTTTTCACTTTTTACCGAAAAAATTAGCGATTTTTAACGAATTTCGTTTTGTCGTATTGTAATCGTAAAGAAACAAAATGGCGACATAGTGGAAGTTGGAAGTAAATCTTCATCTTGCGAAGTTATCGTAACATAGTTATTCGATATTGATTGCAGCTAAAATGCGATGATTTATCCTTTTTGTGATGCGATTTCAGTAGGTGGAATAGCCCTAGTGTGTGCAACGTGTAAGCATGGAAACGTGATGGACAATGAACATGATGAAGTTTATGTCAAATCCAGATGAACATTTATTGCGTGTCCTGTGAATATTTTAGCGAAAATATGCTTTAGCCTAAATGGAATTTTAAGTCGTAATCCAAGGAACCAATAGATCATCAGTACAGTCACTACAACCACTCAGAGGGTATGTAAACAATGTTCTTTTTTTAAATAAGATTATATGAAAATGGTAAAGATTATGTGAAACAGATTTAGTTTTACAAAAAATTAAAAACTCAAAATTCTGAGCGATTAAGGCATTTCAACATGTTAAACTCATGTGATTTTAAAGGTCAAGTTTTACAATTGAATAAAAAATAAATGAATTTTTTTTTTAATTTAGAATCTGCAGATTCAGTATTCTGTAGTTAATCCACAAAGTATCAAGTCAAATTATACATAACCCATTGTTGCAACCACGGCCAAAATGTACAACCTTCTCCCATTCTGACCGTGGTCAAATGAGAAAGAATATTTTGTAGCTCGATCATTAATATTTTGTAGCTCATTTAAAATATTGACCATTTGCAAATAAAGCAAAGTAAGATATTTTACTTTGATCATGATACCCAGTCGCAGTGTAAGAAACACTGTTGAATGAATGTAAATTGTTCATTTCAATTGGGATGGAATTTAGAAACCCATGTTCACTTACAATGTCATATGACGTCACAATAAAGATTGAGGCATCAAGATAAAGATTAGGAAATTTTTTGATCAAGCAGCCACGAGCAGGAGAGCTTCATGCTTACAACAATGTGGTAATGTACATATATAACCTGACCGACTGATTACCAAGTCCACTCAAACGTATTTCAACTTTTGAACCAATCTAGAAGTCAACTCTTAAACAATAGTATGCATGGTTACGGATTTTATCTTTGCAGTCTTAGTTAGGCTGTTCCCTATCAAGTACTGTCCTGTGTCTGGTGTAACGTGAAGCGGTCACCCATCCAAGGGTTAAACAGGCTCGCCGTTGCTTAACTTGCCTGAAATAGAGGGAGACTCTACCGCATCACCAGAAAAGCTAGCTCACTGGCGAGGCAGTATAAGTTCCCTATATACTGTCCGCTACACTTCCCCCCGCTCAGCGAAGTTTCGACCCGAAGCTTAGCAGGAGATCTCTCTGAGTATCTGGGCCTCTTCAGCTACAGCAACCAATGCCGTTCCCGGACACGAAGTCCGTACTTGGACACAAAGTCCTAGTCTTAGAGCTTCCTGAAGTAGGTCGGAACTTGACTTCAGATACGGCAACCCCTGCCGTCCACAGACACAAAGTCTGTAAATGAACGCTAAGTCCTAGCTCTAAGACTTCCTGAAGCAGGACACCAGACACCCAGAGTCACTACGCTGCCACCAATTTTGTAACGTGAAGCGGTCACCCATCCAAGGGTTAAACAGGCTCGCCGTTGCTTAACTTGCCTGAAATAGAGGGAGACTCTACCGCATCACCAGAAAAGCTAGCTCACTGGCGAGGCAGTATAAGTTCCCTATATACTGTCCGTTACACTGGTTTATGAGTAGGATCTAGATTGTACTTAAGGCTTTAAACAGATATATAATTTTTTCAGAAGGCAGATATGTATCTATCCTGATATTTGAGCTACAATACAATGTCAATATGTATCAAATATTTGAATTGGTCATGTTGATCAGGAAGTCTTTTTTTGTATTGAACAAGATGTGTTTGTGAAACACTGTGCGGCCGGTGTAACGACGAAAAGTGACCCCCGTAGAATATTGACCAGGGGGTCATTTTTCTACGTAGAAAAATGACCCCGGGTCAATATTCTATGACAAGTGGGGTCATTTTTCGACTGTAGGAAAACATTCCAGACCAGCAATTCTACGACTCCACACACGTTGAAAAATGACCCCCATAGAATTTTGACCCCCTACTTTTTTATACAATAAAACCTTATATACGCGTCTCCTGATATTTTTCATACTTTCAAATGCAATTGGGAGGAGTTTTTTTATGTATTTTATTCCTTTCCAATATATATTTAATTGCATATCTTAATAGCAGCATCACTATCAATGTATCTGGTATGGATTTATTTTTGGCTTGTATAATCCCAATGAATATTGATTTATTGAGGAGCATAAATTTATTATCATATTTTTGGGTGTTTTTTAATTATTCAAAGGTTTTTCTGATTACTACCAGTATAAACTTTGAATTTTTTACAAGTCAAAAAACATAGCATAGAAGCAAGAAAGCAACATTTTTTAACTATATAAATTCAAGTCCCTTAGCTCTTTACATTTAAACTTACATATACATCTGTATGGAAGAAGGATATAGAGATAACGAACAGTATTCAATTTCAAAGTCCCTAAAACAATACAAAATAAGGGCAGAGCAAACACGGACCCCTGAAACATCAGAGGTGGGATCAGGTGCCATGGAGGAGTGAGCATTCCCTGCTGACCTGTCACACCCGCCGTGTGATCCTTGTCATGATCGGGAAATAACGAAAAAATCCGTCGTCAATTCAATGTAAAAATAATGGACTAATAACAATTCAGCATTTATTGCTGCATGAGTTAGGGAAGTTGACGAGAGAAAGTTAAAGTCATCACGTTTATCATATAGCTTGGTTGTTGAATAACCCATTAGCGTCTTTTTCAACTAAAATATCCAAGTATGAAACAGATGTGTCAGACTCTGTAATATCTTAAGACTTTTTTTTATCTCAAGCTCTTCAGGATATATCGTATCGACGTAGGAATGGAAATTACCTTTGTTGATTTACAAAACGTCTTCGATATACATGTATCTAAATGTCGAGTTGAAGGCCACAGCAAGTGCTTTCTTCTTTTCATGCATAAGATAATGCACCAATTCCGCTTTATTTGAATACAAAAATAGGTCTGATAATAACGAAGCGCAATTTGTATCCATTGGAATTCCAATAGATTGTTTGAAGAACTGGTCTCCAAAAACCACATAGATTTTTTTCAATCAGAAACTCAGGCATCTTTTTGATGTCAATTTCAGAGTACTTCTGCGTGTAATCAGAGTGTGTTTTAACAAAATAATTTTGCAAATGACCAATTACCAGGTAAGAGAATTTACGAGTTTTATTTTTTCTGAAAAAGCAACTGTCAATAATATCAAAAAGCCTGGACTTTAATTTATCGTAGGGAATGATTGTGTATAAAGTTGAAAAGTCGTAAGTTTTAAGCTGTTGACTTTGGTAAAATCTTATGATTTCAAATGTCCAAAACTGAGTTCTTTGGACTTTTTGAGTATCCACATCTGATTCACACCACTTCTTGAGTATATTTTTGCACAGTACTCTTGAAGTTTTTCCTTCATTTCTGTCAATATCTTATTGAGATGTAACCAAAGAGGCTTGGTTGAACATTAACTGGAACCCGCATCTTCGTTTGTAAGGATTCTTATGAAGTTTCGGAATCCAATATATAGGGTAGTTCAAATTCATTTTGGTTCTGTGGAATATTAAAAATATTCAAAACTGACATCGATTTTGAAGAATTTCTTCCTCAGAAAGGGAAGTATGAATATAAGAAGGATAACCACTTGTAGAATTAAATCCACGTTCTTCTAAAATACAATTTGTATAATGAGCCTTACAAACAAAGACAATATCGTTACCTGCTTTGTCGGCAGGAACCAGTACGTACTGATCGTGTAATCTATCTCATTCTTTTTTCACTTCTGGATTATTGAACAAAGAAGGATAGATGGTTTTCATATTGCCCCTCAATCTTTTAATGCGCGACTTAAACATGGATCTGATACATTTAATCCATTCTGACAAAGTGTCAACGTCTTCTTTTTCATATCTGGCCCATTTTCTGTCGTACATTTCATCAAAATCCATAATATTTATGAAATTCCAACGCCAGTTGAAGGAGCAGGGTTATGCATTCTGCTTTAAAATACATACTTTTTACCTACCTTATATAAAGTACTAATTTTTTCATGTATATACAGGAAATACCATAGAGAACGTTCCTATAATGATATTAAAATTTCTCCAAAACTGGCAAAAAATTACTTCTGAGTGAATGACAGTTCAACCTTCAGAGATATCTATAATTTAAAAAAAATACTTCCCTTTCCAACACTTTTTAGCCCACA